TCCCCGCCGATCGTGCCCGGCAACCGCCCTCCCCCCAAACGTCCCAATATCGCAATCCGCTCGATTTTCTATTTTTTTCTATTGATGACGTGAAGGCAAGCTTTGGAGGTGCTGATGCGGGAGCGGGACCAGATCGTATCCGCTGCGCAGCAGCTCCAGGCCGAGCTGCAGGCCGCGGCCGCAGCCGCCGCCGAGGGGCGCGCGGCGGCGGCCGCGGCGGACGGCGCGAAGCGGGAGGCCGAGGCGCTCCGGCAGGAGGCCGGCACCCTGGTAGAGGTGGGTGCTGCGCGCCGTGCGCAAGCCCCTGCGCAAACCCCGGACCACATCCGCACAGGTCCACGCGGCCTGCTGCTGGCATGGGCATCGCGCTCGCGATTGCATCCCGTTTTCTCGGCCGCGCCTCGCCCTGCCCTGAGCGAGTGGCGCAGAACGTCCCCCGTTTGTCTCAAACGGCCCGACCCGAACCCCGTCCGCGCCCAGGCGCGCCGCGCGGCCGAGCAGGAGTTGGCCGAGGAGCGCGCCGCCCGCGCCGCCGCGGAGGAGGCGCGCGCGCGCGCCGAGGGCGAGCGGTCGCGGCTGCAGCGCGCGCGGGACGACCTGGCGGCGGCGCTGCGGGTCGCGGAGCAGCGGGCGGAGGAGGCGGTGGAGGAGCAGGCGAGCCGCCGCGCGCTCCCGCGAGTCGCCGCGCATACTCTGCATGGCGGGGCCAAACTGGACTTTGCGGCATTTAGTGGCCCCTGCTAGCCGGCACAAGCCGCCTCTGCCTGCTGCCGGATCCCGCTCATCCAATTTTGCTGCTTTACCAGTGCTGTGATGCGCCACCTTCCCGCATCTCCCCGCGCAGGTCCGAGCAGAGGAGGAGGCCGCTGCGGCCCGGATGGAGCTCGCCGCCGCGCAGCAGCGGGGCGGCGGCGGCGGCGCGGGTCGCGCCGGCGGCGGCGGCGCGGCGGCGGAAGCGGAGCGGGCGCTGAAGATGGGCGCCGAGCTCGAGTCCGAGCGCGCGCGCGCCGCCGCGCTGCAGCAGCAGCTGCACGCCGCGCAGGCAGCCGCCGCGGAGGCC